TAATATAGATTATATATATATATATATATATATATATATATTATTTACAACTACATTTGCCTTGTACATTGTAAGATCTAATATATATAATAAAATAAACTTTATCTTGTATATATACGGTAGTAAGGATGACATTAACATCATTTTTAATGATGGATGATAATGTGTTTTATAATCTCTTTACTCATTGTATATATAATATTTTATAATCTCATTATTGCAAGATATGATTTAAAAGAAATTCTTCATTCTTTTTATAGGACATATTATAATTTTAGAGAATATTAATTTTTTTATTTACTCTTATTAAAGATCGTAATAATATATATTTTTTCTCCCATTTTTTAAATTTCTCTCTAGTTAACATTTTATTATTTTTTAGTTAATAGATGTGACCTATACATTATTCTAAAACTAACTAATATTTGCTCGAAAAAATAATTTTCACCGAGAAACATTATTTTAATATAATTAAAATTGATTTTGGGAGTACAGGCACTTTATATACAGTATAGATAACTGTAGTTATATAACTGTAAGAGATAATGCTATGGTCGGAGATTATAACTTCAAAACATTTACTACCCTAAAATAAGATGAATAAGAATTAAAAGGGAAAATGAAAAGTTACTATCAAACTGAATTTCTGTTCGTTTTTTATTTTTATTTTCTTTTGAGACGTTTCACTTTTCGGTGGTTTTAAAAATAGTTGCGTATTTGGAATGCATATTGTATGGAATACTACCATTTTTATTTGGTACGACATATACAGGTAAGCAAGCAAAAACTAACACGCAGGGAAACTTCGGAGTGAAAAATATAGTAACGTATTTTCAATCACATCTTAGTTAGCAAAGACTTAAACGCAGGAATTCTTCCCCCAATGAAATGGACAAATACAAACATTTTGAAAAAAAACAAAGGCACTTGAGAAATTGACCCATGAAAAGAATTATGTTTACGATGTACTGTGCCACCTAATCTAATGACCCAAAAAAGGTAATGACCAATGGAGTCTCCACCGTAGCATCCTAGGAGTTTCTTTCACCACTTAGACTTAGTGCGTCCTTTTTTATATGAAATGAAAAAAAATTTCCCAGCCTGTAAATAAATATTAAATATTAAGAGCAACACTATCCACACTTTTCTATAACACATTTTTTTCATGCACTCTTTTTTTATTAGTTAAAATTTATTAAAAATTACAAAATTTGATATTTTTTATTTAATAAAATTTATTAAACCTTTCCCATATCCAACCGATCAACCTCAGTTTTGTTTGTTTGCTGGGGCTTTGAATGAGTACTTCACATGGAGAGGCACTATAAAAACTGCAACTAAGCAGTAGTAATGTGCAGATCAAATCTGAATAATAATTTGCTCTTCCACTCACTCTTGTTTAAGGAGTTCTCAAGAGAAACAAATCATGGTAGTGAAGGTATACGGTCCTCACTGTGCTTCCACTAAACGGGTGCTGGTTTGTCTGGTTGAGAAGGAAATCGAGTTTGAGGTTGTCCCTGTTGATGTAAGCAAAGGGGAACACAAGGATCCTGAGTACCTCAAGTTACAGGTCCACCTCTTCTATTTTCCTTTCATTTTTGTTGAATATGATTAGATTAGAGTCTTCAAGATTTTTTTATTCTTTTTCTCCTGATGCATGCCATTTTTATTCATAATATTTGCAGCCCTTTGGAGTTGTTCCTGTCATTAAAGATGGAGACTATACCTTATATGGTAACACTTTCAACTCATTTTCTTGCTTCATCATTAATGAGATTAATATTTTGTTATAGATTTCAAATTGACTAGTCATAAAGTCTTCGGATTTGTATGAACTTCTACTCCATATATTAAAACTAATTTATGATAAATAAGTTAAGAATAAAATTTTGGAGAATTTAATATGAGAGAGCTTCCACAAACTACTAATTTTAGTTTATGAAAAGGATTTTTTTTTAATATTTTTTTTCTTCTTATAGGAAAATTTATCCAAATAAGCCTTAATATAGTATGAAAGTGTAGAATAATGGTCACTATATATACAAACTAATTATGTAGAACTGAGTTGGATCTAAATCTATATTTTATTTCAAGCTTATATTTTACTCCCTCCGTTTTTTTTTTCATAGTCGTTTAAGATTTTGCACGGGACTTAAGGAAATCATTGATATTTTAGTTTTAAAAAATATTTATTACTTACTTTCCTATTTTACCCTTTATTTTTTTTTTGCATTTTTTAGACTGTTGAACTACTCTATTAAATAGTTGTCCCTTTTTTAATTTTTTTTATAATATTTTGTTGGGAACATATTGCTCTTATAAAAGCACTTTAACTTTATATGAGTAGTTGGAGAAAAATTAGGTAGACATTAAAAATAAATACACACATTGTTCAAGAAACATGTATTAATTATCAAGGGTAAAAATAGAAGAAAAAAATTAATAACTCATTGATTTTAGTAATATGACAATGAAAAAAAAAAACAACAAACTTTGACAAAACGACTATGAAAAAAAAACGGAGGGAGTATTAATTAAGACATTATGAATTATTGGAGTGTTTATGAAGAAGTTAGCTAAACAGGTCATAATAGAATATATAAGTAGAACAATCTTATTGTATGTTGATTTTTTTTGAATTGAGTTAAGTCTAAACCTGCATTATAAGATTATTTCACATTTATATACTCTATTATTCTATTAAGACCTTATCACTATTCAATTAACATGTTTTCCATAGTTTTTTTTTCTTCTCTTACTGGTATCTGCTAATCTTAGTGTTTTCACCTGTTTTTGCAGAATCTCGTGCTATAATGAGGTATTATGCAGAAAAATACAGGTCTCAAGGAGTTGAGTTGCTGGGGAATACAATAGAAGAGAGGGGTCTTGTGGAACAGTGGCTAGAAGTTGAAGCACACAACTTCCACCCACCAGCCTACGACTTGTGTATTCATGTTTTGTTTGGTCCAATGTTTGGTGTGACTTCAGATCCAAAGGTGATTGAGGAGAGTGAGGCAAAGCTGGTGCAGGTGTTGAACATCTATGAGGAGAGGCTCTCAAAGAGTAAGTATTTGGCTGGGGATTTCTTCAGCCTTGCTGACATTAGCCACATTCCATTTCTTGATTATATTGTGAACAATATGGGGAAAGGGTATTTAGTAAAGGAGAGGAAGAATGTGAGTGCTTGGTGGGATGACATAAGCAATAGACCATCATGGAAGAAGGTTCTCCAGTCGTACAGAGCTCCAATCTAGTTACTGAATGACTTGAACTTCAGAGAAACTGCTACTAGTATCAACTTTGAATAATTTCAGTGAAGAATAAATGTGCTTCAAGGAATATGTTCAACCTGATGGAATGTGTTGAATTTGTTCCTTCTGTCCTTTCATGTTCAGTTGTGTTTCAAGGAATATGCTCAAACTGATGGAATGTGTTGAATTTGTACCTTCTGTCCTTTCATGTTCAGTTGTGTTTGATTTGGGTTTTACTAATGGTCATGCTTTTTGCTCATGTATTGTGTTTACCCTGTTCTGAAATGACTTAATAAATTATATAGGAACCAATGTTTGTCTGCAAAATCCTTTATCTTATCTTGATGATAATAGATGCATGAGAACACAAAAAAAAAAAAAAAAAAAGACCATCAAGAATTAATTTGTAAGTCATTAAAGAGTTGGTCTCACAGACTAATTTTTTATAACCAATAACATTCTAAGTCACTTGCAAGTCATACAAAACAGTCAGAAGTTTAGCATTTATAATTGCAGTGAATCCAAATTTATTAGAAAATTTCAATAACCAATTACCATTTGAGTCACGAATGAGGTCTCTAAAATCAAAGATGTCTGGGATACTCAAATAATTTTCTGTCAACGTTGATTTTAACAAAACCATCATTTAGAGGAATTCATGCGATTTATCTACGAGAAGATGCACTACTTGTTGATTAAGCAAAGCATAGAGCATCATCATGAGTCAATCAAATCATATTTGACTAAGAGTTAACCAAAGTGTTTGGATCTTGTCTTTGAAAATCTCAATATTTCTTGTTCTTCATATGAACAAGCATGTGTAAGCAAAAAGAGTGTCATAATGACATCTGAGTTGGTCTTAGAACCATGTTTCCAAGATCCATCTTATGTGTTCTTAATTCACTTATGCGAGAGTAATCCATTCACATAAACAATTGATTTTCACCAATTCAATAGAATCCAATGATATAATTGCTCCATTCTTATATATTAAATATAAACAATGTAGTAAATATAAATAATTATATTGGTCTATGATAAGCAGTAAATGATAAATCCCGGAGGACCTTCCAAGAAACTTGTTTGTATTTATTATTTATGCACAACACACTACATTGGACGTAGTAATTTCTTATCCCTTCTCTTCTTGTACTTCACTTTTGTTTGGTAAACATTTCTCCATGACCATGCAGTTGTTTTTCCCATGGCAAAACACGAGGAAGAGTGTACCCTTTGTTTCACCTACGATGTTCGTAGGATATCTCCTCAAAGAGTTGTGCCGGAAGGGGATAAACACTTTTCTTGATGACAAGAATCTAAGAATAGGGGAAAGTATTTCACCTGCCCTGTCCAAGGCCATTGAAGAATCAAAGATTTTCATGGTAGTGTTTTCTGAGAGCTATGCATCTTCCACATGGTGCCTTGATGAACTCGTTAAGATCCTAGAATGTACCAAGATCAAGGACAAGAAACAACTTCTTTTTCCAATTTTATACCATGTAGAACCCTCAGATATACGACACCAGCAAAATAGTTATGGTGAAGCCATGATTGCGCACCAAGTTAAGTTTGGCAAAGACTCCAAGAAAGTGCAGTCTTGGAGGACAACATTGTTTGAAGCCAGGAACTTCCCTGGCCACCATATTAGCACAGGGTACGTAGTATGTACCAACAATTAATTCCTTTTCTGAGTGAAATTTCAGTGTATTCATCCTGCGTGATAGTTTGTTTTTGTATCACTAGTGACTATTGCAGTGCTTGTTACTATAATGAAATGAATCCTGATAATGATATTACATAAATAATATGTTGTGCTCCAACAGGTATGAAATAAACTCGATTGAAGAGATTGTCGAGAAAGTCTATAAAAGTATAGCTCCTAAACCTTTACTTACTGGTCACAACCCTGTTGGTCTTGAGAAGTTCTCCAACAGTATGAAACAAACTGGGGCCGTTTCATTCTTAGTGGTGCTTCAATTAACTTTTACAATTTGATTGCTATCTGAGGCGGTTTTGCACAGATCCTGCAGTGCCTGTATTTTTCATTTTTATTTCATCGATTTATGTTGTTTTCTATTTTGTCTAATATTTATATATTTATCTTTCTGAGAGTGCTTGAATGTTTTTACCTATATGAACAGTTACCTGTATGTTTTCCATGTACAAACACATCTATATGAATTACATTTACACATTTTTGAATTTGGTGCAACGTTTAGTATTGTTACAATGTTGCTTAATAGAAGCAAAGAAAGAAGCACTGGCTTTTTATTACTTGTTTGATCCTTCACTTAGTACATATTGTGTATGAAATTTCAGTCAAATACTTTGCTTTACTCGTTTGAGTCTATTATATTAATCACAATATGCAATTGATGTTACTTTTGTGTACTTGTTTTAAAGGGAAGAGGCAATATTCACGGGATAATGTTTCTTAATTACCCACTAAGAGTTAAACCCTATCCCAAAAGTAAAAAAAAAGTGGAACTCTAGCTACTATACTATATATCATATATGGACATACCAACTCACATTTCACTTATTTTTTTATTTTATCATTCTACTACAGTCAAACGAGTGACATGTATCCCATATATTAACATGTTTGAGGTTTAGCATTCTTTACCCTCAGACATGTAAGATTAATGAAATTACACTAATTTATTTTAATGGAAAAGACACATAATGTTATATTATTATATAAATTAAAAGAAATTAATTTGTATAAGATTTATGAAAAGAATTAGGATATGTTGCAAATGAAATTTTGTTAAAGCATGAAAGTGAAAAAGTGATTTGTCTTAAATGTATAATCTCATGAAAAAGTCACGGAGGTAGGCATGCAGGCATGATCAAATGAATATCCATTAGAGAATTTGGCACTGCCTTAGGAGGAATAAGTTGAATATTTGCTGTAATATAGCAGAAACTGTAATTAAGACCTAAAAGCATGCCAGATTTTTCGTGCGTTAAGGTGAGGATCAACTATAACTTTATACATTGTACTTTACAACCTAATTTGGGTCAATTTCTGTCTGGTAAATGGTAATCAATTAATTAAGAAACCAAATATTATGGCTTCGATTGCTTAGAAATGTCACGTTCATAGCGGACGAAATTGTAAATTATTTTATTCGTTAAATTGCAATCTTATTTAATTTTTAATATATAATTTTGCCTCCTAACTTTAATAATGAAATTTTAGTCATCCAATTTTAAAAAAAATTATATTTTTTATTCAACCATCAAAATTACACACATGAAATTCATTAGTATATATATATTTTTTTATAATAATTGTTATGTCATGCATATCTCACTTAGTTCTCACTTTCTAGTAAGCAACCTCTTTGAATTTAAACATTTAATGTAAGTAAATTTGCAAGTTGAATCAATATTGTGGATGTTTTAGAAATTGAGAAATTAAAATTGTATAATTAAAAATAAAAAACTAAAATTATAGAGTAAAAATTAAAGAGAAATCAAAAGTGTTATATATATATATATAAGTATAAATTTGTGAAAATTTTGATACACATAATCATGAGTATTATATAAAAAAATAATAAGTATAATATTACATGATTTAAAAATTTGATCATTCAACTTTCTATTTTACAAAAATTTTCATCAAATGTATAATTTCTTTAACTTTGACATTTAGTATCAAAAGATTATGTTAGAACATGTTTTATTTTGAGAAATAAAAAGATTAAATAATAATTGTTAAATTATAAATAAAAATAGTTAAATGACTATTATTTAATCTTCTTATCTCTCATAATAAATTATATTTTTATTAGATACA